CCCCGAAGGCCGAGCGGGCCCGTCCACGCTCCCGCGGCGAGCAGGCCGTGTCGCGCAGGCCCGGCCGCCCGCGGGAGCCGTCTGTTGGAACGAAGCGGAGCTGGAGGCTTGGTGCGCGTCCTGCGTGACGGCGCGTGGGGGGGAACGCCGGGAGAGGGGAGAGCATGGCACAGCGTGTGGAAACGCATGGCGGCTGGGGGAAAGGCACCGGCGCGGCTCGCGCGGCGGCGTGCGGCGTTGGTGGGAAGAGGACTGGGTCTGCGTGACGCCCAGCCTGGAACACTGAAGAACTGTGCCTCGTGGAAGTGCTAACTTGGTCCTTCGCTTCCCAAACGACGGGAGCGCTGCAGGCAGCGCAGTGGTCCCAGAGCGGCGCATCTCGTAGGTGAGGAGAGACGAGCCCAGACTAGCAAACGTGAAGTGACCCACTCGCTAATTCCCAAGACTTGGAGTTTGCAAAATGTCATCTGCAGGCCGGGCGCGGTGGCGCACGCCTGTCATCCTAGCTGCTCAGGAGGCAGAGATACGAGGATGGCGGTTCAACCAGCCCAGGCAGGAAAGTCCTTGACACTCTCTCCGGTGAACCACCAGAAAATCGAATGTGTCGTGTGGCTCAAGTGGTGGAGCGCTAGCCTTGAGCTAAAGGGCTGAGGGACAGCACCCAGGCCCTGAGTTCAGGCGCCACCCCCCCCCCCCCACAAAGTGTCCTGGAGCCACCAAAAGTTCTGGAAAAATCTGTAATAATACTTTGAGCCTTAAAGCCTACCTCTATTATCTTGGGGGTCAACCATACCAATGATCCTTACACTGAATTTTCAGCCTCGAGTTTTCTCCTCTCAAATTTATAAATTCTTGCCAAAAGCAATCTTGCTGCACTTAAATCCTTTATTCTTGTTGCCTATGTAATTACATTGGCTGCTCTTGAAGATGTGATCCTCCCCATAGCTGCTATCTCACTTGCAGTCCCTAGTCATATAGAGCTCATTATTTGCATTACCAGATACACTCTCTTTATGTCCTTGTGTATCATTTCATTTTACCTAACATGGATATTCATAACTTATTTATCTTGTTAGAGCTGTGTTAGATGGTCCCTGCTTAGAGAAAATACTGTCATCTTTTCAGAGTACTTTAGTCTGTATATTTTAGTTTTCTACAACAACATATGTGCATTCATTCATGATCATATACTTATGCCAAGCATGGTGGTAGGCACAGAGAGATTTGTTTCTGCTTTCATGGATCTTAGCGTACTTAATGCATAAGCTTAGCATACTCAGCTTACTTAGTTCAACTGTTTGATGCAGAGGACCGCATACTCTTCATCTTTATATCTGTAGCACTTCTGTTATTATAGGATAATAATGTCAGAAAAGTATAATTTTCCTATATATTTGACATATTTCAGAGGCAGGATCCTTCCTCTTCACATTTGTCTGCCTTTTTTTTTGGTCTGCCACGGGGTTTGAACTCTGGGCTTGGGTGCTGTCCCTGCACCCTGCAGCTCAAGGCCAGCATTCTACCACTTGAGCCACAGGCCCACTTATGGTTTTCTGAGTGGTTTATTGGAGATAAGAGTCTCATGGGCTTTCCTGCTTGAGCTGGCTTTGAACCATGATCCTCAGATCTCAGCCTCCTGAGTAACTAGGATTACAGGCATGAGCCACCACTGCCTGGCTTGTCTGCTTTTTTTCAGTGACAGGGGTGTAGGATAATCTTTAGGGTACTTTCACTGGGTCAGCAAATATCAGATAAATGTGCCTGCTGTTTACTCTTTTTTTTTTTTTTTTTTGCCGGTCATGGGGCCTGAACTCTGGGTCTGGGCGCTATCCCTCAGCTCTTCACCCATGGCTAGCGCTCTACCACTGGAGCCACAGAGCCACTTCCGGCTTTTTCTGTTAATGTGGTGCTGAGGAATCAAACCCAGGGCCTCATTCTTGCAAGGCATGCACTCTACCGCTGAGCTACCTTCCCAGCCCTGTGTTGTTTACTCTTGAAGTTAATGTGGGTCTTTGGACATAATGCTTTTAAGTGTGAGATCTATATGTTTTATATGAGACTATCTTCTGATAACCAGTGTTCACATTTATAATATTAGCTAATATTTTTCTGTGCATACTATATAACTAGACACATGTTGATAACTCATTCAGTCATTTAATCTTTTTTTGACATTCTGTTGTCACTGCACCCCACAGCAAGTTATAGGTCTGTTTGAGCTGAACTGATAAGATCTCTTAGAGGCTGAAGATACAGCCCTTTGTTTAGCTTATATGAGGTCCTGGATTGGATCTTCGCCACTTGCGGGGAGGGTAGTAGGGAATGTCTTTTAGGAGTTACATTTCTTTCATTAGCAAGTAACTTCAGATGCCAGCAAAGCTGAGTATAGTGGTGTACTTCTGCAATCTCAGCACCGAGGAGATGGAAACAGGATTTGAGTTCAAGGCATCTTAGGCTACCTTTGGAATTTGAGGCAGCACTTTGTCTTATCTGGAAAAAAGAAAAAGTAGAATGCTACATAATAAGACAGCTGTCATTAAGGTGTTCTAAGAAGTAAAATAATTACTTTTTTGGCCAGTTCTGGGGCTTTAACTCAGGGCCTGGGCACTGTCCCAGAGCTGCTTTTGCTCAAGGCTAGCACACTTTTTCTGTTTATGTGGTACTGAGAAATCTAACCCAGGGCTTCATGCATTGTAGGCAAGCACTCTCCCACTAAACCACATTCCCAGCCCTTACTCTGAAAACATTTTATTGTTTATATAGTTGCTTCTGTAATTTTTCATTGCAGTTGGAGCTCAATAAATGATTACACTAAAGCATATTGAATCCAATTCAATGTTTATTAAACTTTATGCCCAAGATACTGTGAAAGGTATAAAATTGAGTGACAGGTTTAAAAACCTGAACTTGGCCTAACAGTGGTATTTAAAATTATATTTATTATAAATTTTTATTATATGGGCTGGGAAGGTGGCTCAGTGGTAGAGTGCTTGCCTTGCATGCATGAGGCCTTGGGGTTCGATTCCTCAGCATCACATAAGCAAAACGAAAAAAGCTGGAAGTGTCGCTGTGGCTCAAGTGGTAGCCTTGAGCTGAAGAGCTGAGGGACAGCACCCAGACCCAGAGTTCAGACCCCACAACTGGACCCCCCCCACCAAAAAATAAATAAATACAATAAATTTTTATTATGGTCAATAAGCTGTCTGCTCTGATAGTACAGTTTGCATTGGAATTTGTTCCCTTTATGTGTTTTTCTCAAAAGTTTTATTTTTCTGGTTCTTGAGATAGTCTTTGCTTCAAACTTATCCTCTGTCTCAGTCCCCTGAGAACAGGGATTGTAGGCATTTATCTTCATACCTAACTTCTCCAAAAGTTGTGGGTTATTTTGTTTGTTTTGTTGGTCGTGGGGCTTAAACTCTGGGCTTGGGTGCTGTCCCTGCACTCTTCAGCTCAAGGCGAGCTCTCTACCGAGCATTCTACTGCTTGAGCTACAGCACCACTTCTGGTTATCGGTGGTTTATTGGAGATAAGAGTCTCACGGACTTTTTCCTGCCCGGGCTGGCTTTGAACCAAGGTCCTAGATGTCAGCCTTCTGAGTAACTAGGATTATAGGTATGAGCCACTGGAGCCTGGCTCCTAGTGTTTTTTGTTTGTTTTGTTTGTTTTCCCAGTACTAGGGGTTTTGAATCGGCCTTGATGCTTGCCAGACAAGAGGCTTCCACTTGAGTCTCCAGCCCTTTATGCTTTATGCTATTTTTCAGATTTGGTCTCATGCTTTTTGCTGTGGCTAGCCTGGACCACAGTCCTCTTACCTATGCCTCTCACTTAGGTGGGATGACAGATGTGCCCTACCATGCCTGGCATGTTTGTTGAGATGAGATCTCATTGATTTTTTTTTTTCTTTTATGCTAGTCCTGGAGCTTGAACTTTGGGCCTGGATGCTATATTAGCTTTTGTGTTTAATGCTAGTGCTCTAGCAACAGCTCCATTTCTGTTTTTTTTTTTTTAATGGATTATTGTGTAGAAGAATTTCATGTCTTGGTTGGTTTTGAACCTCGATCCTCAGATCTCAGACTCCTGAGTAGGATTACAGGCAAGTGCTCCTAGTGCCTGGCTCACTGAATTTTTTAATTTTTTGGACAGGTACAGACTTTTGGTTTCAGTTTTTTTTTCTTTTTTGATAGTACTAGGGTTTGAACTCAGGTCCTCATGTATGCTTGGCTGGCATTCTCCCACTTTGAGTCACAGTTCTAACCATGCTTTTGCTGGTTGTTTTTCAAGGTAGAGTCTAGAGAACTTTTATGCTTAGGGTAGCCTCAGACTACAATTTTAGGTCTAAGCTTTTGTCTCTTTTTTTTGAGGGGGGGGTCCAGTCGTGGGGCCTGAACTCTGGGCCTGGGCACTGTCCACTTGAGCCATAGCAGTACTGAGGAATCGAACCCAGGACTTCTTGCATGCTATCACTAACCACATTCCCAGCTTTGCCTCAGTTTTTAATGCTGATTTTAACACTTTAATTTTTGGGGGGCCAAGGGAGGGTTGCCAGTCTTAGGACATGAACTCGGGGCCTGGACACCGTCCCTGAGTTTCTTTTGCTCAACGCTAGCACTCTACCACTTGAGCGACAGTGCCACTTCTGGCTTTTACTGTGTATGTGGTACTGAGGAATTGAACTCAGGGTTTCATGTGTGCTAGGAAAGCACTCTACCACTAAGCCACATTCCTAGCCCGACACTTTAATTTTGAACCTTGTCAGAGTATAAAACATGTAACAACAAGTAATTTTAGTTTTGGGCCCTTGACATTTAGACATGTAATTAAAAGAAATGTGAAAAGAATAGGCTTTAAGTTATGAGGCCAGCAGGGCGCCAGTGGCTTACGCCTGTAATCCTAGCTACTCTGGAGGCTGAGATCTGAGGATCACAGTTCAAAGCGAGCCCGGGCAGGAAAGTTTGCGATACTCTTACCCAAGTAACCACTAGAAAACCGGAAGTGGCATTGTGGTTCAAGCGGTGAGCATTCCTGTTGAGCTGAAGAGTGCAGGGACAGACCCAAGCCCTAGAGTTCAAGCCCCATGACTGACCAAAAAAAAAAAAAAAAAGTTACGAGGCCAAAAATAAAATATTCCACAATAGTTTAATTGTTTTTTTTTTTTAAAGTTTTTTTCTTTCCAGGAACTGTTTGCTCACGTCTGTAATTGTATCTACTCAGAATGCTGAGATCTGAGGATTTTGATTCAAAGCCAGCTGGGACAGGGAAGTCTGTGAGACTTCTGTCCCCAATTAACCACCAGAAAACCAGAAGTGGGTCTGTGACTCAAAGTGGTAGAGCATAAGCCTTGATCAGAAGTGCTCAGAGACAATGCCCAGGTCCCAAGTCCAAGTCCCATGACTGCCCCCAATTTTTTTTTCTGTTTTTTCCCTTGAGCATGCTAGGCAAGTACTCTATCACCTTTTGTTTTGCATTTTAATATTTTCATGGTTATTATAAAGATGATGTACAGAGGAGTTATCATTTTCACCTGCCAAGTTAGCCTGAAACGCAAAGTCCTCCTGCCTCCATATTCTGAGTAGTCAGGATTACAGGTATGAACAACTATGCCTGGATGCTTTGGTTTTCTTGTGATTTGTGTAACCACAAAACTGTAGTTATGATACTGGTTACCTGTGTTCTTATATTAAACTTCAACTTTTTTTCCCAAGCAGCATCATTTTTGATTGATGTGTGAAGATAACCCAGAGGACTGAGAGAGTTGCTGAGTGGAGTGTATTGGGGATGCTCTAGGAAAAGACGGAGTACTAAAGACAGTGAGCACCATGGATCAGAACAACAGCCTGCCTCCTTATGCTCAGGGCTTGGCCTCCCCCCAGGTAATAAAGTAGGAGGGAGGTTGGATATCTGTACTGTAAGGTGGTTGTTTAGCTATCTGTTACTAAAAGTGAGTTTCTTTCAAGCTTCCTTTATTTTTTTGAAAAGTTCTGTTAGGCTCTGTATAGACACAACAGTGTTTTACTTTGGGAATTTGTTTGGAAGCTATCTTAAGTATTTTGTCTAGAAGACAGTCTTTTTTTTTTTTTTTGTGCTGGTCCTGGGTGTTGAACTCAGGGACTTGGTGCTGTCTCTGAGCTTTTTTGCTCAAAGCTAGCACACTACCACTTAAACCACAACTCCACTTCTGGCTTTTTAGTGGTTAATTGAAGATAAGTCTACTAGACTCTCCTGCTTGAGCTGGCTTTGAATTGTGATCCTCAGATCTCAGTCTCCTGAGTAGCTAGGATTACAGGCATGAGCCACTGGTGCCGAGCCTCTCCTTTTGTATTCTTGCTGTAAGGTTAATATCGTAGACATATTTATCTTGTATTGTTTGCCAAATAAAATGGTGAAAGTGAAAAAAATATCATGGCTCTTTATGTGAATTTGAGAATCAAAGTAAACTTGGGACCCTCTATGTAAAAAATACAGAACATTGCAAATGATATTAAGGGATTTACAAAGCCATATTTTAAGTCTCTGCATATTCTGTGAGCCTCATAGATTCTATTGTCAAAGAAAGACTGTGTTAGGGTTAGGATCTTTGTGATCCTGGTTCATCTGCTAGAGACCTGTGATCTTGGGAATGTCATTTAGTTTCTCTAGGCATGCATTTCATGTCTTTCTCTTCTCTTCTGTCTCTTTATTTTTTCCTTTCCTTCCCCTGTTTACCCTTCCCTTTCCCTCTCTTCCTTTCTTGTGCTGGTCCTGGGGCTTGAACTTAGGGTCTGGGCACTCTGAACTTTTTTGCTGAAGGCTGGCACTCAACCACTTGAGCCACATCTATACTTCCAGCTGATTTGGTGGTAAACTGGAGATAAGAGTTTCATAGACTTCCCTGCCTGTACTAGCTTAAAATGGCAATCCTCAGATCTCAGCCTTCTCATTAGCTAGTTACAGGTATGAACCACCAGTGCCAATCTCAATTTACTATCTTTACATGGGAAGAACAGGTCCATTTTACTTCCCAAAGTGCTGTTGTGGGACTTAGGTAACTTAGTAAGTTTAACAATGCCCCAAAAGTATTGAAGTGTTAGAGAAAAGTAGGTTGCTAGTATTTGATGGGTTTTATTATTTTATGCTTTTGTGAGGCCAAGTGAGCAACTTTTTTTTTTTTTTTTTGTCAGTTGTGAGGCTTGACCTCTGGGCTTGGGCGCTGACCCTGTGCTTTTCAGTTCTACCACTTGAGCTACAGCACCACTTCCGGTTTTCTAGTGGTTTATTGGAGATAAGTACGGACTTTCCTGCCCAAGCTTTGAACCGTGATCCTCAGATCTCAGCCTCCTGAGTAGTTAGGATTACAGGCATGAGCCACTGGCACCTGGCTGTGAGCAACTCTTTGAATAGTATTCTAATAGTAATACTAATCATTCTTATGATTATTTAACAGTTCAGCATTTTCTAAATGCCTGCTACATTGAATGCTTAGGTAGATATCTTTAGGTGAGCATGTAATTGGTTATTCACATTGAGACAGATAAGGTACTCCTCATGTAAACAGGGATATGAGTTGTTCTGATTATGTCCATTCTGGATAGATTTGGGAGATTAGAGAACTTCCTCATAAGTGACATTTGGATTTCAATTCTAAGCTCTCATCTACTGTATTCAATATTAAGGTGGAATATAAGTTTCAGAGTAGCAAATTTCTTTATGTTTTATATCACCACACAAGGCTCACAAACGATAGCATTGGCCTAACCCATTGTTTCCCGTGCTTTCTTCTATAGGGTGCCATGACTCCTGGAATACCCATCTTTAGTCCAATGATGCCTTATGGCACAGGTCTGACTCCTCAGCCTATTCAGAACACCAATAGTTTGTCTATTTTGGAAGAGCAACAAAGACAGCAGCAGCAACAACAGCAACAACAGCAGCAACAGCAGCAGCAGGCAGTGGTAACTGCTGCAGCTGCAGTACAGCAATCAACTTCTCAACAGGCGACACAGGGGGCCTCAGGCCAGACTCCACAACTGTTTCATTCTCAGACTCTGACCACTGCACCCTTGCCAGGCACCACTCCCCTGTATCCCTCTCCCATGACACCTATGACTCCTATCACTCCTGCCACACCAGCCTCTGAGAGCTCTGGGATCGTACCACAGCTGCAGTGAGTACTTGGTGTGTGGGTGTCCCGTGCCCCGTGCCTCGTGCCAGAGGAGGCCCTGAGAGCTGAGTTACAGCCGCTGCTTTCAGATAGTTGGTATACGTAAAAGCATGGCAGAGCGGTAATCATGTGTCACAGGTGGCTTCATCTGTCTTTTAAGAAGGAACGGGAGCTGTGAGTCAATGCCCTAAGCAAAAGGGTCTCCTAACATTTTTAGAAATGGGGTCACTTTTGTTTTCTGTACTTGAGCCACTAAAATACAAGGTGAATTTCATTGTCACTCTTGCTGGACATTTACTTGTAGCTGATTGCTGAGTCAGTCATGTGAATTCTGGGGTAATTATAGTGTTGGTACTGGTATAGTGGTTCTGATTTTTTTCATATTTATATTTCTTCATATTAATATTTTACATGCAGATCTTTGAAGATCTGTGTCTCTCCCAGAAGATGAGTGTGGCATCTTCCAAATGAGATTTCTGCCTATATGTAACAGTATTTAAGGGGCAGGGAAAATAAATTTTTCCTTCCTGAATAACAGCCAGAAGTTTCCAGTTACTAGTCAGTGAGAAGAATGTAGCATTTACTTTGGAGATGCTTTTGAACAAATTAAAGGAACCTTTTTTTTTTTTTTTTTCTTGTTGGTCATGGGCTTGAACTCTGGCCCTGAGTACTGTCCCTCAGCTCTTCAGCTTAAGGCTAGCACTCTACCACTTGAGCCATAGCACCACTTCTGATTTTCTGGTGGTTAATTAGAGTCTTATGGACTTTCCTGACCAGGCTGGCTTTGAACCGTGATCCTCAGATTTCAGCCTCCTGAGTAGCTACAATTATAGGCGTGAGCAACTGGTGCCCAGCTAAAGGAATCTTTATAATCAAAATTACTCACTTTTCTTGTGCAGCTTATTTCCCTTACTACATACACAGTTGTCATTTATAACTCAGCTCTTACTCCTTTTAGAACTCAGTGGTGTGTAATTGAGGATCCAGCAAAGTTTTTGAATAACTTCAGTTATAGACATTAAGTATGTATTATTTCTGGCTAAAGTCATAAACTGGAACTAGTTTGGGCTGTGTATTTGTTTTTTATGTTCCATAAGGCATCCAGTCAGCCACATTCAGTTTCCATTTAATAACACCCTGACTGGATGGCAGTTCAGTATTCTCAAATTTTTTTAGATTTATGAAGAATTAAGGTAAATATTTTATGAAAATAAATGAGAATGCATTTATCTATTACATGACTAACGTGACATATATATGTATATGTCTATGTATATATACACACCATATTTACTTGAGCAGATCACAGACAGGTGATGAAAGCATGTGTTGTATGCAGAAGTGACAGGAAGGAAATAGATAATGGAGAAACCAAAGCGCTCAACCTATTCGGGTTTATAGCTATGTATCAGAGAGTACGAGAAATATAATCAGAAGCAACATTTGAGTTAGAACTTATTGTCTTTGTATACTTATCTAGAACCATATCATCAGGATGGATGGCACTGTTCCAGGTCTGTGTGTGACAATTGAATTGCATTCAGAGGATGTTATCCATTTCATATTTACATGCTTTCAAAAATGAGGAAAATGTAGAATAAAAATTTTAGTTTGCTGTTTCATTAATATTTATAATAAAGTTGTTTTCATTGTATCTTTTATTTGGTGCTGGTCATAGGACTTAAACTCTGGGCTTGGGTGCTATCCCTGAGCTTTGGTGCTCAAGGCTGGTGGTGCTCTACCACTTTGAGCCACTGCTCCATTTCCATCTTTTTGATAGATAGTTGGAGATAAGAGCCTGCCTGCGCTTTGAAATGTGATCCTCAGATCTCAGGCTCCTAAGTAGCTAGGATTACAGGTATGAGTTGCCAGTGCCCAGCTTCATAATATCGTATTTTGTTTGTTTTTGTCTTGAACTTGGCCTGGTTGCTGTCCCAGAGCTTTTTTTTTTCTCACTCAAGGCTAACACTCTACCACTTTGATTCATAGTGCAATTTCTGGTTTTCTGGTGGCTGATTTTTCTCTCCTGGCTGGTTTTGAACTGTGATCCTCAGATCTCAGCCTTTTGAATAGCTAAGGTTACAGGCATGACCCAACAGTACCTGGCTTCATATCTTTGTCTTTCATAAATTATTTACAAAATAATTCAAGAATACATACAAAGGCCTTCTGGACCAAGGTAACCAATGATGACTCTATGTATCATGAATTACTGAAGCAAACCAAGTGAGAAATCGCATCTTTTCCATTGCCAAAGAAATGGGATTCTCATCCTTCCAAAAACTAACATTTTTGGAGGCCTGAGAAAGTTTTGCCTGCCTATTTTCATTACAGATACTTTTTAATAATGAGCTGACCTTGGTGGTATTTCAGAGCTCAGAGAAAGAGAACAGCTGATTAGGAAAGGCTTAGGAGAGAGACCCAAGCCCTAGTTCTCCACCTGAGTCTCACATGCATACTGGAATGGGGTACTGTCCAGAGGCCTCAGCTCCTTTGAATGTGTGAATGTTAGTAATCACCACCTCATGATACATTGTGAATGCTAAGTAAGGAAATCTGGGCTAGATGATATGTATGCATGTGATAGGAAGGGAGAAGAGAGGAAGAGAGGAGGGAATGGGGACAGAGATGGGAGAGGAAGGGACAGGTGAGGAGAGAGAAAAAGAGAACTTAAACACTACTAGAAAGAGTAATACCTGGTGAAAATATCAGATTCCTAGATCACTTAAACCTCATTGTATGAAAGTTGAACTTACTTCATTTTACTTTTATTTTATTTTTTGCAGAAATATTGTATCCACAGTGAATCTTGGTTGTAAACTTGATCTGAAGACCATTGCACTTCGTGCTCGAAATGCTGAATATAACCCTAAGGTCAGACCCATTTTCATGTACTTCAAACTATACAGTAAAACACAAATTTTCTAGTAGTCCCTAGATCAGAAAGCTGTGTTACGCTTTAGTTTCTTGGCACCAGCCAAATGAATATTATTTCCTTTGTTGTTGGTCGTGAGGCTTGAACTTAATGTCTGGGCTCTGTCCCCGAGCTTTTTTACTCAAGGCTAGTGCTCTATACTTTGAGCCACAGTGCCACTTTCAGTTTTCAGGAAAGTCTCACAGACTTTCCTGTCCAGGCTGGCTTTGAACCCTGATCCTCAGATGTCAGCCTCCTGAGTAGGTAGGATTACAGGTATAAGTCAGCAGTGCCTGACTCCCATTTATGTTTTGAGCTACTATATAGTATGTGTGTGATATATACATGAGTAATCCTGTGGGAGCATTGGGCAGGGAGCATAAGGATTGACCAAGAGTTAGTAATTGTTAAAAGTTGAATAGTAAGTAAAGAAGGTTTATTACAATGTGTTTTTCTACACTTACATAATTTTTTTTCCTAGTATTTTTTTCTTCCCTTCTCAGTGGGGAGAAAGTTACAAAGTTTCTGTCATTGTAGAAAGTGATTAAGCTAGCAGCTAATTGTATATTAAAGATTTTTCGGGGCTGGGAAGGTGGCTCAGTGGTAGAGTGCTTGCCTTGCATGCATGAGGCCCTGGGTTCCATTCCTCAGCACCACATAAGCAGAAAAACCCAGAAGTGGCGCTGTGGCTCAAGTGGTAGAGCACTAGCCTTGAGCTAAAGAGCTGAGGGACAGCGCAGGCCCAGAGTTCAGGCCCCAGGACCGACCAAAAAAAAGAGATTTTTCCCAGCTCTGGGTGAAAAAGCTAAGCAAGAGCACAAGGCCTGGGATTCAAGGCTTAGTACTGGCATGCCAGTACTAGTACAAAAATGCAAGAAAAAGAAAAAGGGGTTTTGTCTATACCAATGGAATGTTGGTTGTTGTTTTTGTTTTTTTGTTTTTTTAAATTTGAAAATGAGTAGATATTCTTAGAGGCCGAGATAGACACATTTTGTTTGGGTCTGGAAAGAGACAGCTGGGTTCATGAGCAGGTCATGCAGAAGCAGCTTTATGAAAAGGTGAACATCCAACATAGGTTCATCAGATAACTGTCAGCCTTTATACCAGGAAAGTAGTTCTATTGAATAGATACAATAAAAAGAGAGAATAGAAGGAATCCCTGGGGGCAGAATGCAGTCTTTTCCTTCCTTGGCTAAGTTACTGACAGCTGGTGGCCAGCTGAATGCCATCAAGGAGGTGCTCCCTTCTCCATTTAGATAGATAATTGGAGTACACAACTCCATGGTGGATCAAAGACCCTTGGCGATTACTTTGAGGTGTCTCCCTGAGAAACTCAATTTTTCATTTGCCTTTTTTTTTTTTAAATGGTGCCAGTCCTGGTGTTTGAATCTTAGGGCCTAGGTGCTGTCCCTGAGTGTTTTTTGCTCAAGGCTAGCACTCTACCATTGAGCCACAGCTCCACTTCTGGCTTTTTAGTGCTTCAATTGGAGATAGTTTCCCAGGCTTTACTGCCCAGGCTGGCTTTAAACCTTGATCCTTAGGTCTCAGCCTGGGCACTGGGCACTGTCCCTGGGCTTTTCAGCTCAAGGCGAGCACACTACCAATTGGAGCCACAGCACCACTTCTGATTTTCTGGTGGTTACTTGGAGATAAGAATCTCACGAACTTTACTGCCCAGGCTGGCTCTGAACCGAGATCCTCAGATCTCAGCCTCCTGTGTAGGATTACAGGCATGAGCCACCGGGGGCCCAGCAGCACTCTTCAACTGAGCTACACCCCACCCTATTTCCCTTTGAACCAGTCTTTTTTCTCACATTTTAGGGAATTCCTAGCTAGGATATAAATATCTGTACAACCCATTGAAATCATGTTCTTGCTTCATTTTCAGTTACCAACTCAAGATCTTTTATTTTTGTTCTTTGTTGGTCGTGGGGCTTGAACTCTGGGCTTGGGCACTGTCCCTGCGCTCTTCAGCTCAAGGCGAACACTCTACTGCTTGAGCCACAGCGCCCTTTCCGGTTTTCTAGTGGGGTTTTCTAGTGGTTTATTGGAGTTAAGAGTCTGACGTACTTTCTTGCCTGGGCTGGCTTTGAACGATGATCCTCAGATCTCAGCCTCCTGAGTAGCTAGGATTAAAGGCGAGAGCTTATTTTTTTTGTTTTGTTTACAACTCAGGATCTTTTGTTTGTTTTTGAGACAATGTGTTGTTACTTAGCCTAAATTGGTCTTGAACTGTGATTGTACAGATATGCACCACTATGGGTAGACCATTTCAGAATCTTAGAAATTAGGTGATCTGAGGTTCTTACTTTGAATGTTTGGAAAAGCTTGATAACCAATTTAATGATGGAACTAAGAGCCAAAAAGGATTAATATTAAGCAGTAGAAATGAGAACTAGGTGTACCAGTATATGCATATAATCCCAGGACTCAAGAGGTTGAGACAGGAGGATAAGGAGTTAGAGGCCAGACTTAAGCTGTGTTGAGAGACTCTGACTGACAAAAGGGTAGTAGGGAGAGGGAAGAGGCAATAGATAGTAAGATTGAAGTTGTTGTGGATCCTGAGCCTTGATTTAGAGCTGCTGGAAGTTCAATTTCTAGGCTAGGAAGCCTTTTGGTGAGACAAGTTGACTCTGGGAAAGAGTATATATATGCCTATGTCCTGATGTTTAAAAATAACATTTTGGCCAAGTAGCAGAGGCCTGTAATCCTAGCTGTTTGGAAGATGAGATCTGAGGATTAAGATTTGAAGCCAGCCCAGGCAGGAAAGCCCATGAGACTTTTACCTCCAGTTAACTACCAAAAACACCAGAAGTGGAGATGTGGCTCAAGTGGTTGAGTGCTAGCCTTGAGCAAAAAAGCTCAGGGCTCCCGGCCCTGAGTTCAAGCCTCAGGACTGGCACCAAAAAATTAAAAAAATTAAAAACTATTTCTATAATAAGGGAACAATTCATCTTGATTAGCTTTTTGTTGTTTAGTTAAATGTTATATGTGAACACTCTTATTTTGCCAATCTTGATAATTAGAAATGTTATGGATTATTTATATAAACAAACGTAGATTTTAATATGTTACAATTTTAACTTATTTGAAAGGATGCTTTGCCTTTTGCCAAAGACATTAATTCAATCCACATATGAGTTACAGTTATAGCAAGAAAAGAGTTCTTAAACAGTGAACATGTAAAAAACACAAAAGGCAGATAGTATAAATGAAAACTTTGATTCCTTTCCTACATTTTGTAGGAAGGCCATTTGGACATAGGATCTCATTACATATTAATAATGCTTGTAATCTGGTTTGTTAATCTCTGGAGGCAGAAAGGTTTTTCAGTTTTTCTGCCTAAAGTTCCTACTAATAAAACAAAATTTTGTAGAGAGCTAGTCATTGTGAGCAGCACAGAATAAGAAACTGGCCCTGGTGTTGGTTGACAGTACCAAGAACCAATCTGGGGATGTAGGTCAGCAATGTAGTACTTGTTTAGCATGCATGAGGCCCCGGATTCCACCCCTAGCATCACCAAGCAAACACTAAAATACAAAAACCAAGTTTTGCAAAACTCTCATTGCAATTTACAGTTATCTTTCTTAGTAGTCCTAGTTGGACTTAATTTGATATGTTCCTTGTTACCTTTGAGAAAATCCTGTATAGCCAGATGTTGGCAACTCACACTTGTAATCCTAACTACTCAGAAGGCTGAGACCTGAGTATCAGCGTTCAAAGCCAGTTCAGGCAGACATAGCTGAGTGTAAGTTGACCAGCAAATAACAGAGTGGAGGTGTGGTTCAAAAGGTAGTGCCAATAGCCAGGTCTTGAGTTCAAGTCCCAGTATTAGCACAAAAGAAAAAAATAAATCCTGAACAGGTATATAGGAAAAATAGTTTGATAACTATTTGTACTAGGCTCTTCACTTTAATTATAATGTCTTCTTATCACTAGTTCTCTAAAATGACTTCACTAATGTTTTCCTGTCACCATTTTAGCGATTTGCTGCCGTAATCATGAGAATAAGGGAACCACGGACCACAGCACTAATTTTCAGTTCAGGAAAAATGGTGTGCACAGGAGCTAAGAGGTAATCTTAAGGAATTCATTCTCTGGTCTGTGTGTTATGAAAGAAAAGGTGTCTAGGTTGTTAGACTAGCACTTTTTACATGTGATTGTTAAAATGGTTGATTCTAGTCCCTAGATAGCATGCAGTTCACTCCTAAAATGAAGAATCAGTTTTGGACATACAATTTTTACTCATTTATACAATCTCTATAGTTAAGTTTCATATGCTACATATAGTATAACATCAAAACTATTAATAGGGTCTGGGGATGTTGCTTAGTGGTAGAGTGCTTACCCAGTATGCATGAAGCCCTGGGTTCAATTCCTTGGCACCACATAAACAAAAAACTGGAAGTGGTGCCGTGGCTAGAGTGCTCGCCTTGAGCTGAAAAGCTGAGGGACAGTGCCTAGGCCCAGAGTTCAAGCCCCACAGCAGACAAAAAAAAGTGGTAGAGTGCTAGCCTTGAGCAAGAGATGCTCAGGGACAGTGCCCAGGCCCTGAGTTCAAGCCCCAGGACTGGCAAATTAAATAATTAAATTACTATTAATAAAGATTCTTGTATGTAAAAACAATTATATGTTTGTGAAAAAGTGCAGCAGAGCTCACTGGACACTAATGAAAGTAAACTGTACAACTAGTAGGTGGGGAAAAAAAGCAAATTCATGAAAAAATTGATTATGAATCGTAGAACTTCAAAGCTGATGGTTGCCACAAAAGCATCTGTCCCTTGCTAGGCAACAGTGGCTCATGCCTGTATTCCTAGCTACTCAGAAGACTGAGAACTAAGGATCATGGTTCAACGCCAGCCTGGGCAGGAAAAATCCGTGAGACTCTTAGCTCCAGTTAACCACCAGAAAACCTTGGTACTGAAGCTTAAGTGGTAGAACACTCACCTTGAGCTGGAGAGCTCAGGGACAGCACCCAGGCCCAGAGTTCAAGCCCCAGGAATGATGGGGAAAAAAAAGCAGCTGGCCCTCAATGGAACTAATTTCATTTGCAGTTACAAGTTATATACATCTTAAGAGCTATGCCTGTCAAAAGATGCCATTGCTTGGGTTCCACATCTGCTTAGTTTTGTATGAACTCAAACTTGAAAAGATGATTACAATGTGCTTGAGTTATTAATATTTAGGGGGCTGTGGATATTTTTGCTTATTTGGAACTTTGAAATTTACCTTTCTTGTTACTATTTTCCTCTGCATAGAACATCAGAAACTTTCGGTTTATTGGCCAGATGTTTCTGATTCTTCCCAAGACCTTTTTTGTTTGTTTTTGATGCCAGTCCTGGGGTTGGACCTCAGGGGTTGGGTATTGTCCCTGAGCTTCTTTTTGCTCAAGGGTGGTACTCTACCACTTGAGCCATAACTCCACTTCCACCTTTTTTGGGGTTGAATTGAAGAGTCTCAGACTTTCCTGCCTGGCTTCAAACCATGATCCTCAGATCTCAGCCTCTTGAGTAGCTAAGGATTGCAGGCATGATCTATCAGTGCCCTTTTTTTTCTGGAAGAAAAGCTTAATAGTCTGACCAAATAAAAATAAGAGGTATGATTATTTTAGCTGATATCCTTCTGTACTTTCCCTCAAATTCTTAGGATGGATAGATAGATAGATAGATAGATAGATAGATAGATAGATAGATAGATAGATAGATAGATAGATAGATTGATTTGGTACCTGTCTTGGGGCTTGAACACAGGGAAAGGGTGCTGTCTCTGAACGTTTGTGTTCAAGGTTAGTGCTCTACCACTTTGAGCCATAGCTCCATTTTAAGCTTTTTGTTAGTTAATTGAGATAAGCTTCTCACGGGCTTTTCTGCCCAGGCTAGTTTTGAACTGTGATCCTTTGTGAGTAGCTAGGATTATGGGCGTGAGCCATTGGTGCCTGACAGCATTTTGTTTATATTAATATAAATATCAAATATGCTTATATTTAATATTCTATCATTGGGCTGGGAAGATGGCTCAGTGGTAGAGTGCTTGCCTTGCATGAATGAGGCCCTGGGTTCGACTCCTCAGCACCATATAAGCAAAAAAAAAAAAAAAGCCGGAAGTGGCACTGTGGCTCAAGGGATAGAGCGCTAGCCTTGAGCTGAAGAGCTGAGGGACAGCACCCAGGCCCAGAGTTCAGACCCCATGACCAGACCCCCCCAAAAAAAATCCTATCATTGAATTTTTTTTTTTTTTTTGGTTGTTGTGGGGCCTGAACTCTGGGCCTGGGCACTGCCCCTGGGCTCTTCAGCTCAAGGTGAGTGCTCTACCACTTGAGTCACAGCGCCACTTCCACTTTTTGAGTGGTTTATTGGAGATAAGAGTCTCACGGACTTTCCTGCCCAGGCTGGCTTTGAACTGATCCATCAGATCTCAGCTTTCTGAGTAGCTAGGATTACAGGGGTGAGCCACTGGTGCCTGGCTTATCATTGAAAAAAAATTTTTTTTTTTTTTTGGGTCCAGTTGTGGGGCCTGAACTCTGGGCCTGGGTGCTGTCCCTCAGCTCTTCAGCTCAAGGCTAGCGCTTGAGCCACAGCGCCACTTCTGGCTTATTTTCTTTTTGCTTATGTGGTGCTAGGGAATTGAACCCAGGGCCTCATGTATGCAAGGCAAGTGCTCTACCACTGAGCCACTTTCCCAGCCCCTTTTTGAAAATTTTATGTCAAACAAACTTAATAATTTTAATGACTATCATGATTAGTCTCATCCCTCTTATCACTTTCCCTTCCTTCTCTTCCTAAAACAATTCTTTTCATACATGTATATAAATTACTACAACCATATTCACCCTATTAGACTTCCCCATTCCTGCTAATACCCACCACCCCTCTTTCCCATCTTTCACCCCAGCAGAGCCAAGATGGACTTTTTTGTTGTTGCTGTTGTTGGTCCTGGGGCTTGAACTCAGGGTCTAGGCACTGTCCCTGAGTTTTTTTGCTCAAGGCTCACACTCTACCACTTGAGCCGCAGTGCCCCTTCTGGCCTTTTCTGTGAATGTGGCAATGAAGAACCAAACCCAGGGCCTCATACGTGCTAGGCAAGCATTCTCCCACTAAGCCACATTCCCAGCCCCACTTTTGGCATTTCTGATTTCCTGCACATGACAATCTTTTGTGGCATTATCACTTGCATTTTATTGTTCTTACATAAACTCTTCAAGTTCCTGAGTCATAGTTTTATCTAATAAAGAAGGCATAGAATAAAAAAGGATAGAACTTTAATAGCATCAGCATTTTTCTGTTAATATGAAGCCAAGTTTTCATCTCAATTGAAATTTGTGCACAAAAGTAATAATAACAGTGATGGTGGTACTACTTGTAGCATCCCCAAATATTTGATATAAAGGTTGATCATCTTGGTAGGCCCACAGTTTTCCATTGAGGATGCAGGAATACCTTATGAAGAACTTGTTAATATGTGTTGCTGTTTTGTCATATTGGAAGGAGAGTGACCAGTTTATTCCTGATAAGTTAATTCAGACTTTTAATAAGTCATTCTTCTAAATGATTGAATCAGCTAACTTCAGTATAAATGCATTTTTTCCTTTCTCTAGTGAAGAACAGTCCAGACTAGCAGCAAGGAAATATGCCAGGGTTGTACAGAAGTTGGGTTTTCCAGCCAAGTTCTTAGACTTCAAGATTCAGAACATGGTGGGAAGTTGTGATGTGAAATTCCCCATAAGATTGGAAGGCCTTGTGCTCACTCATCAGCAGTTTAGTAGGTGAGTCTGAAATGTGCTGGGATTACTTTTGGCATCACTTTACTATATTTATAGTTTGTTCAGAATAAACCACATAGGAGATTCAGAGGATGTCATCATAATGTGTATATTATGTAAACAAAGGATATAGTTATCAATTGTATTTCTTCTAGGACTTCTTCCTGCTCTTCTAAGGAATAACAACATCTTCCCCAGATTGTCACTTTCCATGTAATTTAATGATACCCTAAAATACCCTTAACTAGAATGAATTATATTTTATGTTGTTGAATACATTTTAAGTACATGAATTGAATCCACAACCTCTTGTATAAAGGGAGGAATGAGAATCTGGATAAAGAACAGATAGAATGAAAACACACATACACATACTCTTTCCATCTTTCTTCTTTGACTCTTTCATTCTCACTCTCTCTCTCTCTGTATTTATGCATGTATGAACATTCTCTCTCTCTCTCTCCCCTCTCCTCTCCTCTCTCTTTCTCTCTTTCTCTCCAGACTTCATAGCCCAGGCTCACTGGACATAGGAGTAGGTGATAGAGTACATAACCAGTAGTTAATTTTTTGGTGGGGAATATCATAATAATTTCTTTAAACATGAGACACTTTGATTTCTAAACTCCTTTTGCTATTATCCTTCTAGCTATGAGCCAGAGTTATTTCCTGGACTAATCTACAGAATGATCAAACCCAGAATTGTTCTCCTTATTTTTGTTTCAGGAAAAGTTGTATTAACAGGTAAGTTACAAGGGGAGGTAGTATCTCAAAGTTTGAGAGTTACAAGGATAGAATTTTCTCAGTGCTAAAAAGAAACTTGTGTTGGTACATTTGTCTAACATGTTGAAGATGTCTTTTCCTTTTTTTTGGCCAGTCGTGGGGCTTGAACTCAGGACTTGGGCGCAGTCCCTGAGCTTCTTTTGCTCAAGGGTAGTGCTCTACCACTTGAATCAGCACCACTTCTGCCTTTTTCTAAGTGGTTTATTGGAGATAAGAGTCTCCTGGACTTTCCTGTGGGGGCTGGCTTTGAACTGTGATCCTTGGATCTCAGTCTCCTGAATAACTAGGATTATAGGCATATGTCACAAGCACCAAGGTTGTGTTTTGTTGTTGTTTTAAATTCTCTTCTTACCCTACTCAGCCTTTTTTCTTGCCTGGGGGTGAGTAGGCAGGGTATGACAACACTGATAAACTAATAATAGATAATGTGTTTAGCTGGAATAAATCCTCTGGAGTTTGGGGTTCATCAGTGTACCATTATGAAGCAACAAAGGAAAGTGTAGTTTAGCTGAGATGCCAGTGGGGAGAAATATTTTGCCTCCAGTGCTGTTCTTTTATGTCTTGGTGAAGGATGAAATGTGAGCTACACTTGTGGACAGGGGGGTCTGGATTATGAATTTGTATAGGATGGAGTGTGGGGAAGAGCTGTGGACTGGGGGGACAGAGCTAGTGGGTATATTGTTTTTGTAATTTAAAAAATCTGTATGAAGGAAATTGCTGAATTGGCCCTCACCTATATTCCTAGCTACTCAGGAGTCTGAGCTCTACAGGTTTGTAACTTGCTAGACTCCATCTTTGTAACCAACAAAAGAAAAGCTGGGCTGGGCTGGGCTGGGCTGGAGTGATGGCTTGCAGCTTTGAGATGATGACATCGCATGCCATTTTACATTTATCTCTATCTGTAGGTGCTAAAGTCAGAGCAGAAATTTATGAAGCATTTGAAAACATCTACCCCATCCTAAAGGGATTCAGGAAGACCACGTAGTAGCTGCCCACTTACTCCTGCCTTCCTCACCCACTTGTTTTTTTAAACAAATCATTTTTGGTACCTCTGATGGTGCAGTTGTGAGAAGATGGACACTCAGTTACAGGTTGCAGCACCAGGCGATGTCCTCTTTGGTGTGCCACTGCAGGTTGCTGGGCAGGCTACTTTTCCACACTGAGATCACCCCGCAGCATTACTGTGAGTTGCTCATCCTGTGCTGCTATTTGGGCAGCGTTGCCCATTTATTTATATTTTAAACACTGCTGTTGACAAGTTGGTTGGTTAAAGGGACAGACTTTTAAGTGTTCAAGACACCTGTACAGTTGAAGTTTTTAATTTTTCCCCATAAGCCACAGGTTTTATATTTCTAACAGAAAAGAATCTTTTTTAAAATTGTTGTTTTTCTAATTTGTAATTCTTAGGGGTTATTTTTGTGCCAGACACATTCCACCTTTCCAGTATTGCAGGACAGAATAGCTGTATTAATGAAAGCAAATGGCTGTACATATGTTTCTTTCTTCACAGTACTCTGTATAAGAAAAAATGCAGTTTACAAAAGTGTTAGACTGTTCTTATATCTTTTAAGAGTCATGTGACCATACTGTTAAAAAATTGTATTTTAGATATAATGTCTGAAACCATTTTGATGTTTGTCATTTGTTTTGGTCAACATTTCATTGTACATTTGCCGTGAATACGGACATACACCTGAAAACATACAAAAGTGATCACCATTACGACTACCCTGCCTTGAGTACCTCTTGCCTCCTCAGTACCTCACAGTGCTTGGGACCTTTGCTTATGTGGTGCTGAGGAATCGAACTCAGGGCCTCAGGCATGCAAGGCAAGCACTCTACCACTGAGCCACCTTCCCAGCCCCTTGTCCCACTTTTAGAGTAAAGAGCTTAGGCTCCCACTAGACTTGGCATGTTTTATAGCTATGCTAAGAGTCAAAAAATAATCTGAGTCTTCTCTGTGAAAGCTGATGTCCTGTTCACAGACTCCAGGTTCTCTGGTATAATATTTTGGTGAAGGCTGTTTTTCCCATGCAATAACAAGTAGGCATTTACAAGTTCTTAGGTTTCATTCTTTTTTTTTTTTTTGGGTCCGGTTGTGGGGCCTGAACTCTGGGTCTGGGCACTGTCCCTCAGTTCTTCAGGTCAAGGCTAGCGCTCTACCACTTGAGCCACAGCGCCACTTCTGGCTTTTTTCTTTTTGCTTATGTGGTACTGAGGAATTGAACCCAGGGCCTCATGCATGCAAGGCAAGCACTCTACCACTGAGCCATTAGGTTTCATTCTTCAGGTGCTTTTTGTCCTTTTTAATTATAAAAGCAGGTTTTTTTTTTTTTTTTTTCACTCAGAGGTTTATAATCAGAAGGAAGTATTATTTGTCTCCCTCTTGCCTGCTTCCCAGGTTAATGTCCAGAGTAGTGTGTGTCTTTGGTACTCCTCCCTCTTCTCCCCCCAGAGGAACATTTGGTCATGTTTTGTGGAAAAATACTAAAGCATAAGTTCAGTTTTGTGGCTTGTCTCAGTTGTATCTCCACGATCTGGAATACAGCATTCTCCTAGGGGCCTTTATTGAACCACTCCTTTAGTGATGGCCATTTGCATTTTCCTTGTTTTCTAAAGCAAATTATTTTATAACCAACAGAGTATACACCACGAAAGGAAAGGCCTCAACCCTGTCCCTCTAGGTTCTGAATAAATCAATGCCTTCCATGTCAAACCCTCCCGCTTAGACTCTGACTAGGAGCACAGTCTCCTGACTTCTCAAAAGAAAGTCTCTGCGTCATTAGTGGGCCCTCCTAGGCTACAGAACTTGCTTTGCATCAGCCACTGTCCAGTCCCAGGACCCCAGTTAGCGGCTTAGCAGGAGACCACAGAGAGCAGCTCATGATCGGTCAATCAGCTGTTGCTCTGGTGAATGGAAGGAACTGTGTTGGTTTGGTTTTTGCATCTCCTTCCCTTAGGTGCTGACAACTCTCACCACATGACTCAGACCAGGTACCCTAGAGTGTGGTACCTGAAAAATGCACAACACGGTGCCTTTCCCAGTGCTTGTTCTCTTATACATGCTCAAACCACTTTCCTTAACTGTCTTCTGCCTCTTTGCTGAGACTCTTAAGCTCCATACAGTGGGTGCCACTTCTTACCCTTCACTTGGTCCCAAGTCCAGGACAGCATCTGGCACATAGAAAAGGACTCGGTAAATACCTGCTGAGTAACTCAACACATCTTTCCTTACTGCTCATTTCTTCTGCCATTGGCATTTTCTCCAGTGCTCTCTGCAGAGAGCATCCTTTTGTGTATGTTAGGTGAGTACAAGTATTTCCCTAGACATCTTTTAGAAGAGGAATAATACTGGTGTATATAAGAGGCCATTTAAAACTTCTTTTTGGATAGAATTTATATGAAGTTTTATCTTTAAGGTAACAGTATATGAGGTACCATTTTTCTCATTTCCTAGTTACTGAGGCAATAATGAATGTGCATAGCTTACTTGAAAGACATTTCAACATTGTTTACTTCTCTCCAAGAAAGCATTGTCTTTCTATATAAGTAGGTGTTCTATATTCTTCAGAAAAGTTTATTTTTTCATGTAATGCCCTTAAAATTTATAAGCTAGTTAGTTAGTGGAGTATTTCACATAATTCTTATTCCTCATGTTTACTGTATTCTTGAGTTCTAGTCATGTAATTGCAAATAGTTTTACATTTTCTTTTCCAATATTTTTCTTTATTTGAAAAATAAAAGTGGAAGTGGGACATCTCATGAACTTTTCTGTCAGGGCTGGCCTCAAACCACAATCCTCTTTATGAGCCTCCTGAATAGCTAGGATCTGGCTTCTCTACTTCTTTTCCCCATCTCAGTGGCTGGGATTTTAGCCCAGGCTAGCCTCAACCTTGTGAACTTCCTGCGTTAGCCTTCTATGTGGTGAGATAACATACCAAATTTACAAAATGTTTTCTCTGAACTATAAAATACAGCACATGCAGCAATGCTTAGCCTAAAGTAGTACTCAGAGGCAGCCTTTGGGTCCTAAGATACTCTTGGTGCTCACCACCAGTCACACCTCACAAAAGCCATAATCCTAGTTACATTATTTACAGGTTGAGCTCTCATTTAAAAGTGATTGTTTTAACATTTAGGTTCCGCTTCCTTCTTTCCTCTGGAGTCAGGGACCACATGACCTAGGGAGCTTTTTTTGTCTGAATTTGCTAGCTACAAACGCATGTGGTTTATTTTACATCAGCTTCAATATTTTGCTTAAAACAACTCTACAGAGGTAAATAAACACTGAGCTTTCTGTTTTCTGTGCCAGTACTGGGGCTCAGATCTGGGCCTGGGCTCTGGGCCCCTAGTGTGTTTTGTTCAAGGCTGGCACTAGCACTATACCACTTTCTGCTTTCTTGTGTCAATTGGATGCAAGGGTCTCATAGACTTTGATCTTCAGATCTCAGCATCCTGAGTAGCTATAATTACTGGCATGTGACTGGCTTAATGCTCTTGCTTTTCAAGGTAAAATATTTCACAAGCTCATACTGATATAGCCATTAGAATCCAGGGTTACAAGCATACTGCAGCCTCACCTTTCAATCTTTAAGCAAGACGCCCAGTTCTGATGTAGGGTGCTTTATTTATTTATTTTTAAATCCCCATTAACCTGCCATTTCCTGATTTTGCCATCTCTGGTATTGCTCCTTTAGGTACTAGGTATTCTTATTTATCTTACCACTCATCTAAGAAGGTACAATATTTTTCTCATGTTCTGGCATTAGCAAGATGTCTGGTTGAGTTCTTTTAACTAAACACTTGTTTACAAATTTAGGGGGGAAAGATTGAAATGTTTTGAGTTCATTACACACAGTTCATTTTTATTATAGAAAAATACAAACATGTATGTAAAAAGACCATGTCATTTGGTCCCATCATTCATAGGTAACCAGTTTGTGTATCTTTTCAGATTTATACATATTTATGTTTATGTAAATTTATACACATATTTATTTCCAAAAAAGAAACACACCATACCATCAATGCTATAATGCTATCCTGATGTTCATTTAGACATTATTTGGTGTCCATTAGAACAATCTCCTTCCACTGTACACATGGGAACTTACTTTAAATCCCTGTTGTTGAGTAGTTTTGTTGTATTAACGTAAAAAGACATAGATAATGCCTCAAGCTGTGTTTTTGTGCCTCCATCTCTGGAACATGAGCTAAAAGTCCTTGAGATGGAATTGGGGGTGATAAGACATAAGGCTTGTTGTCAGGGTGTGTCTGTTATATCCTGCTTCCACACAAATTCCTCCGTGTAGCCAGTGCCCAAGTTACAGTTCTCAGTACAGGTGTAGACAGCCAGGACACCCCAGTCAACGCTCTTGCCCAGTCTGTCTGCCTTTAGGTGGTTCAGCAGCTGTGGCATGACCTGAGGAGAGAATGAAAGGGAACATGGCTTCAACATTATAGCTACCTTCCCCACTACTGGCTACGAAGTTTAATTCTGAAGTCTGTAAACACAGAAGGGTGATTGATTATATACTGAAACAGTCCCAATTTAAGACCATACCTGGAATTCAAATAGTCTCTTGGCACCACAGGGACAATTTGGAATATCCTTTTCTTGAGGTATGTTTTCACCAGAAATCCACATTGGCTCAACACCTCTGCCATAACGGAGAATCTAAAATAAAATTAAAACCATATCTGAACATCAACAACTCACCCAGGAGTTTCCAGTGGTAATGTAAAATGGTCATTTAGAGAAATTGTATACATGCACCTTATATTTGATAGAGCACCTTTCTCAATCTCCTCCAAAGCTATTACTTCATCTTTTTCTTTTTTTTTCCCCTTTGGTCATGGGGCTTAAACTCTGGGTTCTGTCCCTCAGCTCTTCAGCTCAAGGCTAGTGCTCCACCACTTGAGATACAGCCCCACTTCTTTTTCTTTTCTTTTTTTTTGGTCCAGTCGTGGGGCCTGAACTCTGGGCCTGGGCGCTGTTCCTCAGCTCTTCAGCTCAAGGCTAGTGCTCCACCACTTGAGACACAGCCCCACCTCTTTTTTTGGGGGTCCGGTCGTGGGGCCTGAACTCTGGGCCTGGGCGCTGTCCCTCAGCTCTTCAGCTCAAGGCTAGCGCTCTACCACTTGAGCCACAGTGCCACTTCTGGCTTTTTTCTTTTGTGGTGCTGAGGAATCGAACCCAGGGCCTCATGCATGCAAGGCAAGCGCTCTACCACTGAGCCACCTTCCTAGCCCCCCCCACTTCTTTTTCTTAAACGGTCAGAACCTTTATTAATCCTATCAGTACATTGATAAAGGACTGCTATAACTCCGTTACCAGATTCCTCATAAAAAAGGATTTTAAAACCAGGTGGTGGCCCACGTTTGTAATCCTAGCTACTAAGGAGGCTGAGATCTGAGGATCCTAGTTCAAAGCCAGCCCTGGCAGGAAAGTCCGTGAGACTCTTATTTCCAATAAACCACTAGGAAACCAGAAGTGGTGCTGTGGCTCAAGCAGTAGAGCGCTCACACAGGAACAGCACCCAAGCCCAGAGCTCAAGCCCCATGACAGACCAAAAAAAAAAAAAAAAAGATTTTAAGTTAGTACTTACTACATACAAAGAACCTTAAATACTTTGGTAGGGGCAAATACCTACTGAAACATGGTGTTTACATAAAACTTACAGATAAATTATAATTTTCTTCCTATAACAAGGGAGTTGTGTGTTCCTGGTTAAAAACATTATATGCTAAAGGGGGAAAAAACAAACCAACCTTAGTGTTTAGGACATAACTTTCCTGTAAATCCCTAGATACTAATGTGCCCAATGACTTAAAAAAAATTGGCTGAGTAATCTTTTGTGACTTGTTTATAGTTAAAATAATGGGAATGTCATGTTTATTTTGAGCCAAAGGTAACTAAGAAAATGGTATTCTGCCCACGTTGCCTGACTGCTATATATTTTAGATAACATCTCCTTTACCTTCTATTGTGGGTTGTTTTTTTTTTTTTTTTTATCCAGGATGGGCCTTCTATCCTGATAGTCTCCCCTAAAGCCCCCAGCTTACTGCTTAGAGCACAGCTGCGACAGTCTCACCACTACTTATTAATGGGGATGGGGTCTTAGTCTTACCCTCCAGGCTTGCCACAAAATGAGAGCCAAGGAATTTGTTTCCTGAATAGCTGGGACTACATACCCAGTCCTAAATACTTTCTTTAGTAAATAAATCCTATTTGATACTCCATGTATTCCCTTCAGTCTTTCAATATGGTACCTGTCTTTTCAGAGAAATCCTGTAACAGTATTTTTTTTTAAAAGCCTGCTCTTAGAGGCTCCAAAGGAAAAGAAGAGCTCTACCAAAAATGATTATTTCTTAGGGATTTTATTCTGAAAACTGGTCTGAAAAGGACACAATGAAGAGGTGTAAGTTCTGTTTTACCTGCTCTGGTTCAAGGGCTATCTGCGTTTTAAACTTCTGGAAAACTCGATCTTCCCTAGATTCATGCTTTGCCATAGAATCTAGTTCTTCCTCAAGTGCTTCACCTGAAAAAGCAACATCATATTTTTGGAGAACAGAAAACATCCCTACAACTTGACAATTTACAAGGTTTTTCTTATTTATTCACATAGTGAAGTGTGTGCTTATTTCCAGGTCTTCCACAAAACATATGTAGCTACTATGCATCCACTCCAAAGATTCAAATTAAAAGATGAACCCAAGAATGAAAATAGGGAGAATGTGTAACATTTACACAGTATTGTGTTGCAATAAGTAACTTGGGAATTTTTTGTTGTTGGTTGTGGGGCTTTAACTCAGTGCCTGGCGCTGTCCCTCAGCTCTTCAACTCAAGGCTAGTGCTATACACTTGAGCCAAAGCGCCCCTTCTGGTTTTCTGGTGGTTTACTGGAGATTAGAGTCTCACCGACTTTCCCTGCTCAGCGTGGCTTTGTACCACGATCCTCAGATCTTGGCCTCTTGAGTAGCTAGGATTACAGACCTGAGCCACCAGTGTCTGGTGGCAAAGTTTTTTTTTTTTATTTTTTTATTTTTTGGGTCTGGTTATGGGGCCTGAACTCTGGGCCTGGGTGCTGTCCCTCAGCTCTTCAGCTCAAGGCTAGCACTCTACCGCTTGAGCCACAGAGCAAAGTTTTTAATACATGTGTCAAGAATGAATTCTTTAATAGTGACTAGTAGTTTAAACTTTCGTCAGGATTTCAGATACCTAAAAGGAGTTTAGACATCTTTATTGAAGAGATAGCGTATTTAAAATTCCAAAAATCATACCTTAGGGAAAATACATCTTTAAAGCTGCATCTTCCATGTAACACTGCATGTATACATTTCAGTGTGTGTGTGTGTGTGTGTATTTCCCCCTGTCCCCCATGGGGCTTGAACTCAGGGCCTAGGCACTGTGCCTGAGCTTTTTTTGCTCAAAGCTAGCACTCTACCACTTGAACCATAGTGCCACTTTCAGCTTTTTCAGTTTATGTGGTACTGAGGAATCGAACCCAGGGCTTCATGCATGCTAGGCAAGCACTCTACCACCAAGCCACATTCCAACCCCCTAAACATATTTTTGAGAGAAGGAAACAACAACAACAAAAAAAAACTAGCTAAAAATTCAAAGATGTAATCAGTACCTTTTTTTTGAATAGGAGTTGATCCTATAATTCAGGGAATGATGGTGGATCAAATGACTTAGGGATTATTCTGTCAATGGTTATGTAAGTTGAGACTCTGAAAGGCAGTGACCACTATTTTTTAAGCTCTCATTCTGAAGGGATGTATACTTTCAGAAATGAACTGTAGCTTTCTTAGTAAATATAGACAATTTAGGAAAAAACATGGTAAATTTCTGCTTGGGACTTACTATTTTCTCAGTAACTATGAACATCTTGCGTAGAGTATACTAGAGTCAGGGAGACTACCCAAAACTTTTTTTGGGGTTTTTGCTGTTTTTTGCTTTTTTTTTTTTGCCAGTCTACCACTTAGGCCACACAGTACCACCACAGTACCACTTCTGGCTTTTCTTCTGTTTATGTGGTACTGAGGAATCTAACCCAGGGCTTCATGCATGCTAGGTGAGCACTCTACCACTAAGCCAGATTTCCAGCTCTACCAAAAACTTTTGCACTTGGATTTTAGGACTTAACCTTTCTTTAAAAAGAAAAAAAAAAGTATAAATGAAGCTAGAACTGGTAGCTTGTGCCTGTAATCCTATCTACTCAGGAGGCTGAGATCTGAGGATCATAGTTCAAAACCAGCCAAGGCAAGAAAGTCTGTGAGGCTCATCTCCAATTAACCCACTGTAAAACCAGAAGTGGTGCTGTGGCATAAAGTGGTAGAGTTCTAGTCCTGAGCTAAGAAACTCAGGGACAGCATCCAGGAACAGTTCAAGCCCCATGACTGACTGACAGCCCCCACCACACACACTTAAATAAACACAAAAATAATACAATCAGATTATTTATACCAAAATGTCTTTTCTCTGATCACAAACAATAATAGGTGTCTCTTATGATGATGTACAAGGAATTAATGCAAATAAACTTCACAACATTAAAAAAGGAAGGACTCAAGACTATTTCCAGCATATCACTGGAGTCCTTATTTATGTTTTACACAGTTCTTTTCCCAGCTTGCATTCAACTCAGTCTATTATCCAATGTTTATTTCTTGCCCTACTGTCATATTTGGACCACTGTTGACCCAACACACTAAATGGCTGTCAGTACAGCCTTTAGTCTTGGTATTGTGAAGTCAGCACAGTTGCTTAGGCCTATAATCCCAGCTACTAAGAAGACTGATGTTGGGAGGATTGGACTTAAGAGACTGGCTTGAGTTAAAAAAAAAAAAATCAACAATATCCTATTAATAAATAAATAAATAAATAGTGGGGCAGGGTGTATGTAGTACCTGTCTGTATTTCCATTGTGTGGGGGGCTGAGACTGGGAGAATCATGATTTTAGGACAGCCTGGGTAAAATTTCACAGGATTGCCATCTCAATTTAAAAAAAAGTGTCACATGCTTGTCATTCTTGCTATTGCAGGAAGCATAAATAAATAGACTCAGGCCACTAGCCTGAGGAAAAACCAAGACTAACTCTAAATTTCAGAGTAAAAGGGATTGAGGCTTAACATTAGAGTACCCAATTAGCAAATCCCAAATTCAAATCCCCACCAACACATACACACTCCACACACACACTCTCTCTCTCTCTATTTTACAAATATCTTGAGTTGACATGAAATAACACTTCACCATTGTGATAAACTTGGGAAGGCATTCAGTAATGGCACTTCACTGACAAAGCCAGAACCGATTGAGGAACCCTAAATATCTTTATGATGGTCTGTCAAGTGTATTAGCAAACAGGCCACATTTACTGTAGTGAATTACCAAGTACTAATGATCAGTTTCAAGTAAGATTTCAAGACCCCGAACTTAATATGATGTATCCTAATCATATTATGAATAATTCACTTTCACTCCTGAAAGTCAAAATTTGAGATGATTACTGAAGTTTTTAGAAAGTAATATCTGGAACATAACATGAACTTATTTGGTGTGGTTTATTTATTGTTTTTGCCAGTCCTGGGGCTTGCAACTCAGAGCCTGGGCACTGTCCCTGAGCTTTTTGCTCAAGGCAAGCACTCCACCACTTGAGCCACAGCGCCAGTTCTGGCTTTTTCTGTGTATGTGGTGCTGCGACAGGGCTTCATGCATGCTAGGCAAGCACTCTTCAACTGAGCCACATTCCCAGCCCTTGGTGTGGTTTAATAGCTGCACAGTATTTTTGTTAATGATCAAACTGCTTTGTGCCAATAGGAGTCTTGTCATATTAGTTGTTGATTCACTTTGGCAAAAGATGTTAATAATCATGAGTTTCCTTGTTCTCTGGCATGAACATGTTCCAACATTAAACAGTTACTTGCCAGTTCTGCATACAACCACTTCTCCAATAACACTGGAATTCACTTGATAAATGGTAGTTACACCTCAGAAATACTTATTGAGTTATTATTTCTGAGTCTTTGCAGTGGATTAATTACATCATTAATTTACACTCACACTTCCCAATATAAATTCAGAGATACGTCTTATGTACGTATACTATTCTCGTATGCCAACGTATCAACATAATGACTCATTTACTGTATTCCCAGATGTACAACCACCTCAAAATAACAATAGTTGTAACGTGTTAATTAAAAACGCTCACATATCTTTTTCCTTTCAATACCGTGGGTCAATTCTGGGGACACACTATCAAATCACTATGTTTTAAAGCTACTAAGACTTGGTTTATTGAATTACTCAACAGTTATGTACTTTTTTATTATCTATGCTTTTTTCACAAATGTTATGATTCCATAGATGCTAATATGACTCTAGTCATACCTACCTAAAATAATATGCCAAGTCCCACCTTTGCCTTCCCATTCTCTAATGCTGTCTCAAAGCATTTTCATTTATCATTTCTGTAAACATGAGCAACAGTATACACACATACTGGTTTTAGGTGGTTAACACAGAGTATTTAATTCCCCTTAAAGACAAACTCTATGTGGGCTCCTCCCTTACACTAAGTAATGGGGTATGGTTGGCTTTCTGCTGTGTCCTCTTACCAAGCAAGATTTTCAAACTTATTCTTTCATCTATTGAGTTGAATGGACTACAAACCAGTAAGCTGACAATCTTAGTTTTCACTATTTTGAGCTGTTTGATGATAAGAATGCTAACTGAATGAATGGGTTAACCCACTGATGAAACCCATTAATGAGTTCACAGCTCAACAGGATTTTAGGAGGTGAGAGGTCTGTTTGGATGAAGGTGGTCATCAAAGGCCCCTGTTCCAATGGTATGCCCGTTCCCGCTGTGGCTCTCTTGCTTCCTGGGCAAGATTTGGTAAGCTAATCTGCTGTTCCACAAATTTATGCTACATGATATTCTGCTTTATGACAGGCTTGCACTAATGGAGCAAGTGAACCAAGAGCTGAAAACTTCCAAAACCAAGACCAATAATACAAATCTTTCCCCTGTTATCTTTCAAGTTTGGCCAAACACTGTAAGATTAACACTGACTCCTTACCCATACTTCCTGTAATCTCAGAGTCATCTTCTTTATCCACAACTTCAGGCATAATCTCATCTTCTGTTTCTATTACAATTTCAAATTCTGGAAAAAGGAAGTTATGGTCGGGAACTGTATGGTCCAAATTATCTGAAATAAAAAGTTACCATAATTATCACTAAATCCTTAGTTTTGAAGATGTTCTAAGATTTTCCCATTTCTAAAGTATAGCCATGTTTTGCATGACATTCGTTCAATCAGTATATTCACACAAACCTAGATGGTGCAGGTCAGTCAGTCACAAAGCCTCACAACAAAATCAGGAGACAAGATAAAGTACTGCATACACAGGCTGCTGCCAGTATAACATCATTTTACAGTTTTTTCTGCTTAATAGGATTGTATTCTAACCATAAAAAATGGTTATCACAGCTGCTTACTAAGTATTATATACTACATATTGTGTGTACTTAAAAAAAATTGGGGGTGTGTGTGTGTGTGGGGGCAGTCCCTGGGCTTGCTCTCAGGGCCTGCATGCTGTCCTGGAGCTTTTGTGCTCAAGGCTAGCGCTTGCTCTACAACTTGAGCCACAGCTCTATTTTTAGCTTTTTGGTGGCTTATTGGAGACAAAAGCTCACACTTTCCTGCCTGAGCTGGCTTTCAACCCAAATCCTCAGCTCTCAGTCCCTGAGTAGCTAGGACTTCAGGTGTGAGCCATTGAAACCTGGCCTATTAAGGTGTTCACATCATCAGTTAATACAACTTCAACATCCGAGTTCATGAATCGCTGAGATGGAAAAGAGAGGAAGAGAAAGACAACAGACAGGACTTACCTAGCTGTGTACAAGCCTGCTTATGTCCCAATCTCCAGTCTAGCATCTGATGCTCCTTACTGCAGTAATGTGCCTGGTGGCATCTTGAACATGTTTTAGGACCTAAACAGCCACAAACCCTGCAGAGATGAGCTCCAGACTTAAGTTGGAGATGCGAAGATTCGCCTTCTTCTTTAGGAGGGTTCTCAGAAGGTGGCTCATATGAATAAAACTCATTTTTCCTGGGTAACTGGTTCCTGAAAACTAATAAGGAGAAACATTTTCAACGAAAGGAAATAATTCAGATACTTGAGTCTCCCTCTATGGCACCCTTGGTAAAATGCAAGGACACCCTCTCATGCATCTTTTTTCTTTTTTGGGGGTCGGTCATAGGTCTTGAACTCTGGGCCTGGGCGCTCTGCCGCTTGAGCCACAGCGCCACTTCCGGTTTTCTGGTGGCTTCCTGGACTTTGCTGCCCGCGATCCTCGGGTCTCGGCGTCCTGAGTAGCGGCGGGAGCACCGGCGCCCGGCCGCATGCGGAGCTGTTCAGACCCGAGTCCTGCCCGCTGCTGGGGCGGCACGAGCTGCCCCTAGGCCCGGAGCCCGGGGAGCCCGCCCGCGTGCGGCCCTCCCGCCACCACCAGCCGCCCGCACCTCGAAGACCCGAGCAGCACGGCGGCTCGCGGCAGCAGAACAGGAAGAGGCCGCGG